TAATTGAAAATTCGGTTATAAAATTATTTTAGTAAAAAAATCATATTTTTGGATGATAATAAAATGGATAAGTCCATAAAAAACCTAAACTAAATAATTACAAGTGGCAAGTTACTTCAAAAAAATATATGCAATAATCGTGCATGGCCAAATTATTCATAATGATCAACTTGTTTATAATTCCAGTTGTTGGTTCTACATATTGAAGGTCCTCAACTCTGTCACCCAAGTGGGAACTGGGAAGAGAAGAAAATGATTGAAAATGATCTGAGATGAAATTTCTTTCTATCAAATATTTGATCCGTATATAATCTTCTTGCTTGAAAAATGAGTGCATAACATTTATCGTTATCATAAAGCAACATGGAATAGTAACAATTATAGATAGACAATATTGCACGTATGAGTAACGACACAGTCAAACAAAGACTGACCCAACATTTTTGGCTACCATAATAAGTATGCATAGCCCATTCAACAAAATCATCTATCAATCTAGAATATTATGTTATAAGTAAAATTTCAGTATATCGATATATTAGTATTTCGATAACTTTTCAACGTTTATTTAAATTTAAAAAAATATAAAATATATATATAAATCAAAATCAATGGTTACAGATTATCGGTATATCAATGTATCGATATACTTGAAAATCTTCCTATATTATGTATATAATCCGATTTTCTTATTAAAGATTTGGCCTGACTAAAATTTATATATATATAAAAAATTCATCTAGAGAAAATGAAATTTTACTATGTTCATTATTTTCTGTATTTTTTTATAAAAATCTACAAATAAATAATACTAAAAATGAAAATAGAAAAACTAATTGCTATCACTCTTGTATTTTTTCTCATTTTAAATTTCCCTTCCTCTATCTAAAATCTCTTTTCTTAAATTCCTCTTCATGCACTGTACTGTCTCTATCTCTAACAAGGATTGGTATTATCCTTAAGTGTTTGAAAAATTAAGGCCAGTTTGCCATTCCTTGTCATGCCTTCAATCCAACTCACATGTCCTGTATATCTTTTATTAATTAACACATATCAGATATATAACTCTTTATATTGTTGACTACTCCTTTTAGTTAAGTTTTTTAAATTAAAAAAATTATAATATAGTATCAGAATATATATAATATATAGGTTTAGAATTCAATTTTTTTAAAATTTAAAAGGAAAAATTTAGTATATAGATAAAGAAAAGAGAATTTTATAAAAAAAAAATTTACAGGAATTCAAAATAAAAAAAAAAATGTATTAAGTGATAAAAAAAATGTACCAAGCTAAGTGAGAGACATATTAAAAATATAATTATTTATATTATTTTTAAAAGCAACTTGAATTTTTAAGGAGAGTAGTAGTTTTATCATTTATGTAAATCTAATATTTGGTTAATTTAGGTAAAGTTGGCTAAGGATGATGTCGCATCAAGATCTCATGGTGGCTGCCCTACAATATATCCATTATTCCATTGACTGCTGCTTCTAAATTATTATATTTGATTTGATTTGATTATTTCCATTTCGTCCGCCACAAAACATGCTTGTTTACCAGCAAACCTACCCATTTCACTCACTACTCCTACTTTGACTGCCTTCCAAGTCAACTAACACAAACATCCCTCTTTACTTTCATTCTCTTTTAACGTCACAATTCACAACTAACAGATTACTATAAAACACTATTTCGGGCTATTGCTTTACGTTAGTTAAGTATTGATTATAATTTTTTCCCCTCCTAATTCTTCTATATCTGACTAGTATTAAAGATTTGTGCAACTAACTGAACATATTCAATATTCGTTTGCATATATAATAGGATGTATTTTATGTGTTTCACGTTATATAATAATCTAGTAAATGATTGATTCATTATAGAATTGAATTTTTTTAAGAATTTTTATTGGTGAATAGATGATTGTATATATCAGATTTCTTTTGTTTTCTAATATATCTCATATCGAGAACTAATTCGCATTGAATATGTTTATTTAAGAGTTTATTGTTGATCAATTCTAACACTTATTTAAGCAAAATAATGAGATAAAAATTAAGGATTAGACCAATCAAAATAATTATTGCATATATAATATAATATTAAAATTTTCAATACTTGCTTAATCTAATAAGTAAATTTACATCTAAATCAATCTAGATTGATTAAATCATTAAAAATTTTGAGAATATCAATTTAAGGTGCATACTATATATACTATAGTGAAGAGTTAAAATAATAAAAAAAATAAAAATCACTCTTATAAATAAATAAATTATTTTAAAAAAATATATCATTTTACTTTTAATAATTTTTTAAAATAAATTTACACATTACTCTTCCCGTATTCCCTCAAACACCTCCATCTTATAATTGTCCTCAATTTAAATAGCGAGTCATTTGAAGACAATACAAGTGAAGATAGGATCCGAATATAATCTGAATCGATCTTGATGTCAAATGAAAAGGGACAGTGTAATGTGTGAACCAATGGCAACAATGAGGGTGCCACGTGGAAGGATCCAATGGCTCAGTTTGGCACCGCCAGAGCTATCTCATCTGTCCACTTTTGGCCGACAGCCCCACTTCAATCCACGTGCGTCGCATTCGGTCAATACGGTAAATTATGGAAAAAGATGTTAATTAATTACTTCGGAATTTATAACTTTTTATTATTTATATATTTTATCATTTAAATTTAAGAATAATTAGGTATTATATTTTTAGAGTAATTAATAATTTTAGAAAAAACTTAATTTATAAATTATTTGAATTATTAATCTAAATATAAAAAATATATAAATACATAGTAAATAATCTATTGAATGATTTATATTCATATAGAGCATTGATTGTTTTATTTTTAAGATATGGTCACACATATCGGAGTTCCAACGGGACCATCATTTTCAGAGGAACAACAATAACTCAATAAGGATGATCATGGTAGTTACAAATTTATGGGACGACATGCACAGATGACAGATAGGTATGGATTAACCAAATCTGCATTTATCTATAATAAGTTTTATAAAGCACGGACATTTCGTTGAATTGGCATGTTCACATGCCGAATATATTTTGGACACGACACTCACCGACATTCGTTCGACACGCGTGTCTTTCGTGTTCCATCCGTGTCTTTAAGAAGATAAAAATATACTTATTCGGACACACTTGACACTTCAAAATATCATCACGTGTACGCGTGTCAAACTTTATTCTTAATTTATTTTTTTAAAATGAGTTTAAAAGTAATATATATTACTATTTCTTAAAACTAAAAATTATCTTAAATATTTTATATAATTTAAAAAAATATTAAAAATACTTAAAAATAATAATTTAAATTTTAATATAAATAAAATGTCAAGATATTATTATAATTTTATTAAAAATAGATTATATTTTATATATATATCGTGTCCCTATGTCATAAGAAAAATTAAGATTGGTGTGTTGGCGTATCGCGTGTCGTGTCGTGTCCCGTGTCCGTGTCATAGATAAGTTTATATTCGTTCCATTCATTTGTTTTGTTCATTTTTTTATTTGCTTTTTCATAAAAAGTTATTCACTTAATAAAATATTATAATTTTCTTTTTTTACTATTTAGTAATGTTATTTAAATAAGTTGTTTTGGCTAAGTTAAACCAAGTGATGTATTTTACATCGAAATAATATTTTATTTAACATAAAAATAAATGATTTAATTAGATTTAATTGACCAAAATCACTTGTTCACATAGAGTTATTGTTATTAAACTAATCTAATTAGTTTTGCATAAGTGATGATGCAGAATAAATGGCTAATGTACTTATGAAAATTATTATTATTATAAACTTTTATTTAATTTTTATAACTTTATTACATTCAAATCATTTTTTAAAAATCTAGCATAATTTTTAAAGTCGACATTTGAAAACAAATTTATTTTATTTTACATTTAACATTCTTGTTTCAAAGCTTACATTTAAAAGAAAATGTTTTTGAAATAGAAGTGTGTTTGGGGTAAGAAAGAGAAATAAATTATAATTGAAATGAATAATTTAATTTTTTTAAAATATTTTATAAATGAAAGCTTATTCTTTTGTAAAGAAAAATAAGTGTACGGATAAGAAGATTTTGTCTATGGTGGTGAAAATGTCCTTTAAGGATTATAAAAAATATTATAAATATGTAAATATAATTATTTCAAATATATATTTATTATTTTTTTTTATTTTAAAAATAACACTTCAAATTAGATCACTAAATATTTTCTAAGGTTCTAAAAACCAGATCGGTCATTGAACCGCTTGAGTCAGTGGTTAAAGGTTTTATAGGTCCAATCGATTTAACTGGAGGTTCAACCATTTTTAATAAAATAATATATAAAATAAAAACAAAGACAAAAAATATAATTATATCATGAATTAAATCTTAAAATGTTTTTAAATTTAAAGTATTAGATCAATCAAAGTGTTATAATTTTACTCAAATATAATGTATAAAGTCAATATTAAGTTTTTATATTAAAATAACTATTATTTTTATATTTTAATAATTTATTAATGAGTTTATGTTTATTCTATTAGAAAAAGACTAGGGAACCAATATATTATGACCAATAGGGGGCCAACACATAGTTACGGATGATAACTCATATAAATTTTGGATGATAACTTAATTATTGACTCTCTAACGTTGGTTCCGTAGCACTGTTCATTATATCATTATACACAAGTATTTATTAAAAAATAATATTAGTAAATACCATATAATTATGGAATAAAAAAAAATAAGATGTGATTAATTCAAAAGATATATTTTAGTGTTTATATTTTAATTTCTAAATATTTAATAAAAATAATTTTTATATTAATAATGATGCATAAATAAATTTATAGTTAATTTATAAATAAGTGCAAATTAAAATTAAAATAAAAAATAAATATAAATTGGTAGTTAAAGGGTAGTTTTTTTATATATAAAATAATTTGTCTTTATTTTTTAATATGTTCATATAGCTTAGTGGTAAGGAGTGTTTTTAAGATGCCAAAGGATATGAGTTCAAACCCTATTTCTAACATTTTGGAATAAATTCTTGTTGCGGGGAGAAAATCGGTCGGATCTCGGATCGATCCGACCGCCCGATTTTCAACCGGTTCGACGATTCAATTTCGGTTCTTAGAGAGGTGGGTTTCTGCATCAAACCGGACCGGAGAACTATGATATTTTCACCGCGTAAAAAAATCTCTAAGATAAGAATTATTATAAAAACAAAATCCTTTAAGTTTATAGCATTCCACCGCATCATTAATCATTAACTTTTGGCTGCGCCATTTGCCATTAATTAAGATAGAGACGAAAGGTCACAAATTAAAGCTTATAAAAGAAGAAATTGAATGAATTAAGGAAACATAGCCTTCCAACACTTGAGATAAGTATGTTAAAATTCATTTTAAGAGATAGACTCTGCCGAATGATCAATGACATGAATTTATATTAGGAAGTTACTAGTTATTTTAGAAAAGTAATATTTATACTATTTTTATTTATTTAGGAAGTTACTAATTATTTTAGAAAAGTAATATTTATCCATTTTTTATTAAACTTTTTTTTATATACTTTCATTTTATTGTATAATATTTTATATTTTTCTCATTTATTATAAATTATGTTTTTACCGAAAAGAAACAAATAAAATAAAGTATTGATACTAATCTCTTAAATGGTGTGACTGTGTGAGTGTAAAAGAGAAATAGAGTGGTACATGTAAATAAATAATTCTTAAATTGCAGATATAAAGTTTACTTTTAAAGTAATTCCAAGTATGCAATATCTGGAAACAACGATGAACTGAAAAAGTAACGCGTAAAAGAAAAATGTGGCGGTACATGTTGCTGGGTTTAGAAGATGATAAAAAGATAAGGAAGATAAAGTAGGCAAGTAGCAAACTATGGGTGATAATAATTCGGTGACACCAGTGAATATTTTTTAAATGATTAATTATTTTAGATGATAGTTTTAGTATTTTTAGATAATTAATTATTTTTATATTGAATAATTAATTTTATTATTTTAAATTAATAATCAGCCTAATATTTATTAATTAATATTAGTTAAAATTTTATTGACTACTTAGAATACTAACAAAAATAATCACACAAATTTTAGAATAGATAAAAATAATTTTAAAAAGTTTAAGCAACAAAAATATTTTTAAGAAATTTAAAATTTTGATAAAAATGATAAAAGATATTTAGATAAATAATAAAAATAGAAAAAACTAATATTTTATTGAAATTTTAATTTATAATTTTTTTCTAATAAATTTTAAAATTTTTATAGTTATTTTTTATTTGGATAATGCAATTTGAATAAGTGATTTTAGCTAATCAAATTCAATTAAGTGATTTATTTTTATGCTAAATAAAATATTATTTTGATATCAATTTGAGATCAAAATAATCTTCTATTTAGCATAAAAATTAATGATTTGGTTGGACAAAATCACTTGTTAAATTATTATTTTTATTTGTTTATATTAAAAGATAAAGGAATCAAGAAAGGAAGAAGAAAACAGAAAAACAATGGATGTGGACACGGCGCAGCCTTTTTAGATATTGTCCGTCCAGAAACCGCGCCTTAATTCGCGAGTCTCCGCCAATTAATGATGCCAACTTCTCTAATTACGGCTTTATTCTTCCCCCTCCCTCCTATCAGCTTTGCGAATCACCCTTCAATTCATGCACCCACACACCACGCACCTAGCCTTGTCTCTACATTATTTCCCTTCTCTCATTGCGTCACCTTCAGTCTTCAGAGATAACAAATGCATAATAAGAAGGTCAAAAGAGATTCTTACACTGTTGTGAATATTTTTAATTTACATTCATTAATAACGATTATGTTTATATTAATTTAAAAACTATTAATATCTATATCTTATTAAAAATAAAATTTTTATCTTTAATTTTAATATAAATTTAGTACCTATTAATTGATTTAAATAAAAAATATTTATACTAAAGTAATAATATAGTTTAATTTTAATATATTTATATAATTTGTTGAATAATAATCACCTATTTTACCAACTAAATTCAATTTCATATCATTTTTTTGTGATAAATAAAAGGCTTTTTCTATGTCGATTATTTATATACTAATTATTTGTGTTACTTGATATTGAAATGACTTTTTATTAGGCATAAAAACTAATGATTTGGTTAGGTAAAATAGGCGTACACCTAATGTTATTGTACCGATAATACCTAGAAATTAAATTTATAATAGTAATAATATCTTTTTAGTTTTCACAATATTTTCTTATGAGTAGAAAAACAAAGACTAATCTACCTGTGGACAAAATTCTATTTATAAATTTCATTGTTAATCCATAAATACTGCATACACAACAAATAATAATATGGCATATAGATTTTTTATAATATTTTTAAAATAAAATTAGTAAAAGAGAGAGAAAAAAAAAGCAGAATGTGAATTCAATTATTTAACTTATTTTATTGAAAGACAAAAATTTGTATGAGAAAACAGGATTTTGATGTTTTAATATTGTGAAGAGCCTTCTAAAAAATAAAGTAAAAAATTTAACACAATTTTTTTAACTAAATAAATCGTTAATATTTTAAACTTTATCTCCTTACAATAACAAATTAACAATTAAAATATTGAACTTTTTATCTACTAATTTATTAACGTATTGTTAGTTAAAGTGTTAAACACTTGTTGTCAATCAAATTCATTCTATCTTTATAGTTTATCCACACATCTAATTAAACCGGTTCTCGTTTCCAAATTGAAATATTTGGTTCTTTAAGCATAAAAAGAAGAAAAGGGCAAGTGGTGCAGCTGGATATTTTAGTTGAGTTTGAAAAAGCCCACTCATTGCTTTACACGAGAGGGCGCCTAGTGATTGGTCTCAATGTCAAATTGGTGATGCCAAGCACGCACCACACAACATGCAAATTGCAACCTTTACCAATTTAACAGGTCTAACGTTCAACGACCCCACTAGTAATTCGTTCCACTAATCTTCATTTGACTAAACCTCTAGATTCTTATTCTTAACAAAGATATCAACCACACTATTCTAGTTCCACGGTTCAACGTAAACAGACAACTATTTCTTTCTTCCCTCCCTGTTCCCTCCCCCATGTTAGGTGTTTTTTGGATAAGCTTCAACCCTTCATGCATGTGCCTCTCCCACCCTTCCTCTCCTTTTCCTCCACTCAATCCAATCCAATATTTTATTCTAATTTTTCAAGTTAATTAACATAATAAACAAAACCAACCCCATGCCTTAATCCATGTTTTTATATTATTCTGGATAATTTGAAAATCATTTTCCACACCAAGCCGACTTTCAAATTCCTCGTTCTCCATGCTGCCAGTCCACGCGTCTTTCTTTTTCTTTTCTTTTTTTTTCCTCTTTCTCTCTCTCTAATCCATTTCCACATATATAAATACGCTTCCTCTCTTCACTTGAACATTTCAATTAGAAACTTACAACCCTATCCAAATTCCAAACACATCAAAAATTCTATTTTGTCTCTGAAAAATGCTTGATTTGCATTGGAATACAAACATGGTCAACTCCGACATGTCATCATCAAAGTCTCCAAAACTCTCGATGCCCTCACCGCGCGGCCCTTCTCTTCACGTTCCCTTCTCCACCACAGCAGACTTCTCCGCCGCACCTCCTCCGCTCTGCGCCGCCTACGACCAATACCTCCGCCTCCCGGAGCTCCGGAAGCTCTGGTCCCAAAGAGACTTCCCAAACTGGAACAACGAGCCAATCCTAAAACCCGCTTTGCAGGCTCTCGAAATCACGTTCCGGTTCCTCTCCACTGTCTCATCGGATCCAAGACCTTACGCGAACCGAAGAGAGTGGAACCGTAGGATCGAGTCACTCACCACGTGTCAGGTCGAGATCATATCCATTCTCTGCGAGGACGAGGAGCTAGACACGGAGACACGTGGCACCGCACCAACGGCTGATCTTGCTCAATCCGGTGAGAGAATTAGTTACAGCGAGTCCAGCCTGCTCCCGAGACTTGCCACGTGGCGGAGATCAAAGGACGCGGCTCAGAGGATTCTTCTCACCGTGGAGTGCCAAATGACAAGGTGTCCGTACACTTTGGGCCTGGGTGAGCCCAATCTCTCGGGAAAGCCCAGTCTCCTTTACGACGCGGTTTGCAGGCCGAGAGAACTCCACGCGCTTCAGACGACGCCGTTGGAGGAGAACTACGAGAACGTGAGCGTTCACGCGGCGCACCAGATCTTGGAATCGTGGGTCCGCGTAACGCGGAAGCTTCTAGAACGAATCTGTGGATCGATCGAAGGAGGAAGGTTCGAGAAGGCGGCGAGCGATCTCGACGCGGTGGAGCGGATCTGGAAGCTTCTTGGAGAAGTTATGGACGTCCACGTGGCAATGGATCCTAACGATTTCTTGAAACTGATGAAGAGCCAGCTGGCGGTGAGGTCGTTGAAGAACGGTTGCGGCGGCGAAACGGTACCGTTTTGTTTT